CCTCATCTGCATGTGCCCTAGCCCCTTCCCAGACCCTTTGCCTCTCCTCCAGAAGGAGGGTGGAAGAAAGAATGAGGTATATGTCATGCCAAGTAAGGTGGTAGGATTGAGCCAAGTGTTAGAACTCTTTAACATAAGAATCTGGGTTGCTGGAGAGGCAGAGAGAGGGGCAGAAGGGCCGGGGAAGGGGTGGGAGCCAGTGGTTGAGCAGTGGAAGCCTGTGAGTGCTCATTAGCAGGGTTGAAAGAGTGGGAAGTTTCGGGTAGGAGGGGGTTCGAGAGAGGATCTGGCTGGGGGGGGGAAGGGAGGAGAGAGAGAGTGCAAGCGCTTGCGGGGGCAAGCAGAGACCTAGCGCTAGGATTTCGAGGAAATGAGATCAGGGCTGGCACAAAGAACTCACCAAGGAAGGACAAGGCAGAGGAAATTCCCCCATGAGCCACAAGGGCGCTTCTTGGGCTCTTTTCCGGCACCCCAAAAGAGTAGCTCAAAACCAGGGAGGGGTAGGGGTTTAGGCAGAAGAGAGAATCAGTTGTGCCAGAAAATAACTTCCTCCCCCACCAGGTAGCACTGCAGGACGGTATGATCCCACGGGCAGGAACCAGAGGTCTCGGAGCGTCTGCCTTGTGGCTGTAGTGGGCCTGGAGCCTCCAGAGGACAAAAGGGGGAGAGGGGAGAGAACAAGAAAGCAGGAAAATGGGAGAGCAGAGTCAGTGCCAAGGTACACCCAACCCAAGTCCTGGCACCAAAATGTTAGGAAAATTGACCTCTGGCAAAGAAAGCTCAGGAGAAAAGTCTCACCTCCAAGAGCAAGGTTTAATGACAGACTTGAGCTGCCCAGCTGGCCAGGGAAAGATGGAGCAGCACTGACTCTGGGCTAGCCGTGGCTTTTATAAAAGAGGGAGCTTGAGGAAGTTAGAGCATTGCAGTTTCCTTTAAGGGTGGAGCTGCCATTGCGGGTGGAGGTGTCTGGGGGAGGCTCCATTGCTCAAGAAGTGAAGTCTGAGGATGAAATGGCCGCTGATTCAGAAAATGGCGACATTATTGCTCTATCAGGCCATACTATAAAGAGAAAATGAGCAACGTTTTCCCAGGCTCGGAGAGAAACTTGCAATCCGGGCGGAGCTCTCTACGCCCTCGCTCAGGCCAGCCCAGGTTGGCACGAAGAGAACACCCGCAGCTAGACTCACTGCGAGGCGCCGCTGTTCCTTCCGGAAATGGAGCACGTGACCTCATCCAGCCACTTCCGGCTTGGTGAGCCTTCCCTCAGGCCGCACTTTCAACAAAAACCATGGGGCCTGGTATTTCTCTCGGTACCGCTATACTTCCTTTGCACTTTTATCGCTTTAACCATGGTTGAGTATAAAAATTAAGGTGCTAGGATTTAGAGATAAGCATGCCTATGGGAAGAAGGAGCAGTTAAACGGGCCTGGCGAAAGTGCGCCGCGGGAAGCACCGCGCGCCTTCTCCTCGCCAACCGGAAGTTGCCCAGTCTGAATGGGTCCTGAAGCCGGTGACTGTGGTTCCTCTGTTTCCACTTAACACCGGGCGGCTCCTTGGCGGCGTGGTCTTGTCAGCCTCTGGACCGCCAGATTTCATGTGGAGGCTCCCAGGCGCCCGCGCCGCACTTCGTGGGGTCCGGAAGGCGGTGAAACAGCGCAGCCGGGCCGACGCGGCAACTGACGCGGCGGTGGGCGCGATGGAGCGCGCTGTCGTGCGCTGTGTGCCCTCGGAGCCCAAGCTGAGCCTATCGTTTGCTTTGGCTGACGGCAGCCACAAAAACATGCAGCGCGACCAGAGCGAGCCGCTGGGTCGGGCGCTCAGCCGGATCGCCACCAACGCCCTCAAAGGCCATGCTAAGGCGGCTGCCGCCAAGAAGAGCAGGAAGAACCGACCGAACCCGAGCGGCGCTGCGGCCTGCGCGGGGACCGGGCCGGATCCGGCTGCGGCCTGCGAGCCCGTGGTGAAGCTGTACTACCGGGAGGAGGCAGTGGCCGACGATGTGCTCAACGTGGACGCCTGGCAGGACGGCGCCGTGCTGCAGATCGGCGATGTCAAGTACAAGGTGGAGCGTAACCCGCCCGCCTTCACCGAGCTGCTGTTGCCGCGCTATATCATGGCCGGCTTCCCCGTGTGCCCCAAGCTCAGCCTGGAATTTGGGGATCCCGCCGGCTCGCTTTTCCGCTGGTACAAGGAATCCAAGCCCGGAGCGGCGGAGTCCGAGGACAGTGGCCCTTCGTCCTTGTCTCGCTCCTCTCCCCCTTCTGCTTGGACAGAGGCGGGTGTAGAAGAGCGTGTCTACACCCCGTCCAATGCTGATGTCGGGCTAAGGCTCAAGCTTCATTGCACGCCCGGCAACGGGCAGCGCTTCGGGCCCAGCCGGGAGTTGGAAAGTGTGTGTCCGGTGGAAGCCGGGCCTGGCACCTGCACGTTTGACCATCGGCATCTCTACACCAAGAAGGTGACGGAGGATGCGCTCATCCGCACGGTGTCCTACAATGTCCTGGCGGACACCTACGCCCAGACCGACTTCTCCCGGACGGTCCTGTACCCGTACTGTGCCCCCTACGCCCTGGAGCTGGACTACCGCCAGAACCTGATCCAGAAGGAGCTCGCGGGCTACAACGCCGACCTCATCTGCCTGCAGGAGGTGGATCGCGCCGTGTTCACCGATAGCTTGGTCCCCGCGCTCGACGCCTTCGGGCTGCAGGGCGTCTTTCGGATCAAACAACACGAAGGCCTCGCCACTTTCTACCGGAGGTCCAAGTTCAGCCTGCTCAGCCAGCATGACATTTCCTTCCAGGAAGCCCTCGAGTCTGACCCACTTCACAAAGGTCTACTGGAGAAACTTGCCTCGTACCCACTGGCACAGGAGAGGGTGCTGCAGAGGTCCTCCGTCCTTCAGGTGAAGGCTTCACGTCCTCGCCTTGTTTAGGGACCTGGAAGGCGGGAGGTGGGGTGGCGGCGGGGGTTGGGATCTAAATGAATCTGCCCGGGGTTTGATGGTAAGACTTGTTCATGCGTCTCCCTCCCGTAAGGTTTTCGGTTCCATCCACTCACTCAGCACGCGATTGTTGAGGTCCCTGTGTGTGCCTACCACGCTGCAGGTTGCTTTGAGCAAGACCAGCGGACTCGCTTAGTGCCACCGTCTAGGGACAGAGACACATGGTAGATACAAGAAGAACAGCAGTAGCTACTATTCTTCACTATTTGTCGAGCACTATTATGACACATTTTAAAGTTCTTAAAGTGAAAGTGCCAGTTTATGACGTGCTTCCTAACTAGTAGCTAGTACGTTCTTATCACTGGGATATTTCATCTTGACAGTAATCCCTGTGTTCCCATTTTTATAGATGTTATTCTTCCTATTTTATAGATGAGGAGATGGTCAAATATCCTTATCCAGGAGCCAGGATTCTAAGCCAGTCGATTATAACATCACTGGCAGAATGTGAACTGCTATTTAGCTTAAAACTACCTTTATTTTAAAAAATGCGTTCATTGTATGGCCACAGCTTTTAAGTAATTGATTTTGTTCAAAGTAAGATGACTACCCTTTATTTTTCTTGAGCACCTACTGTGTTTTGTGCTCTTCTGTGGAAGCTCTTTAATTGAATACACATCTCTCATGAAGTGATATTTACCATTATGAAACTGGCTTGGAAAAGTTTCTTTCCCCAGGGTGCAGTAATGTTACAGTATTCATACACAGGTCTGCAGGGTTCCAAAGGCTACCCTTACTGTTTGAAAACAGTCTCCAATCTTAATGTTGTCATCAAAATGTGTTATTTTCATAGTGGCTTTACATGTTAGCCAGTTCTTTAAATGTTACACTGAATCCTATTCTCGTAAATCCTAAAACATGTATCCACAAGGATATGGAATAAAATATCAGTTCGCCATATAGTCTTAGGTGAAAAACATTCACAAAAGTGGCAGACATCAACTAAATTCTTGGCACTTTATTTTAGGTTTCAGTTCTTCAGTCTATAAAGGACTCTTCTAAAAAGATATGTGTTGCTAATACCCATCTCTACTGGCATCCAAAAGGTAGGTTTTAATTTGGTTTCACAAGTAAGTTAAACTTATGACTTAAGGTTGCTAAAATTGTTTTATACAAATGCATTTTTTCAGTTACTATTTACTTTATGTTTTGAGACAGGGTCTTACTGTTATAGCCTAGTCTGGCCTGGAGCTTATGATCCTCCTGCATTGGTTTCCCAAGTGCTGTGATTATAGAGGCACCACCATACCTGGCCCTAAACAAATACATTTCTTGAATGTTACCCAGCTACTGTAGGCATCTTAAACATAGTGACTTAAGACTGCTAAAGGTGTTTTACACCAATTTATATCTTGAATATCATCCAGACACCATAGTTTATGACTTTTTTTTTTAATGACAACTTTAAAAGATACTTACTTTTTTTTTTTTTTTTTTAATTTGTAGGTGGGTACATTCGACTCATTCAAATGGCAGTAGCCTTGGCTCACATTAGACATGTCTCGTGTGACCTGTATCCTGGCATACCAGTTATATTTTGTGGGGACTTTAATAGTACTCCATCAACAGGAATGTATCATTTTGTCATCAATGGCAACATTCCAGAGGATCATGAAGACTGGGCTTCCAATGGGGAAGAGGAAAGATGCAACATGTCTCTCACACATTTCTTCAAACTCAAAAGTGCTTGTGGTGAACCTGCTTACACAAATTATGTTGGTGGCTTTCATGGATGTCTAGATTACATTTTTATTGACTTAAATGCTTTAGAGGTTGAACAGGTGATTCCATTACCTAGTCATGAAGAAGTTACCACCCACCAGGCCTTACCTAGTGTTTCCCATCCCTCTGATCACATAGCCCTTGTATGTGATTTAAAATGGAAATAGATTTCTGTTTAATGGAATTTTGAGTCTGAAAAGGAAGTTAGTTACTTTTCAGGAAATTTAATATGAATCAAAGCTTATATGTAATCTTCGAAGAGGACATCTAGACACTACAGTAAAACTGTTCATTCCCTACTAGTTATGTTCCAGATGTGTTTGTTACAAGACTGTTCATAATATTTGCATCACAGTTTCTCTACCTTTTTAAATTTTCCTATACTTGGAGGAAAAACAAATATATTTAGGACTAGCAAGAAGAAAATTGAATTCTTGTGTACATTTTATAAGTGGATTTTTTTTAAGCTGGTAAGAATTTTTTACATACCATTTGATCTTAAAATTTTCCTTTCATAACACATTTCACATTAAATTATGTTCATATAATTGGGGGTGTGGAATTGTACAGGCTAAGGTGAGAGAACCAAGTTAAGACAAATGGAAGGAATAACATTAAGGCCTACCTCTACCTCAATTTGGTTAGCAATTTATTACAACTTCAGAGCTTTAACAAAAGATTAAAATGTACCATCACCAGTTGTTATTGCTTCTCTTTTATTTTTACCAACAAGGTTTTTTCACTCTTTTTTGTATTTTACTTTTTTATTGCACATAATTTATATTTTTATTGATACTGCAGGTCCTTTAAATTTTTAGAATGTAAGCACAATTTAGTATTCAAGGTGAGTGGCAACACAATCAACTCGATCCTGTTGTCTTTAATCACTCTTGCTCATGAAAAATGTTCATAAATCAGCAGGGTATTTGACCATACGATGTTGGAAATTGTAGTGCAATAATACATTACTTTATGAGAAATGGCCTACTGATCGAGGCATAAAGCTTTGGATGAACCACTGAGCATTTCTATGCTAGAAACAGTTTCAAAGTCATCAGTTTTTATAAATAGGAAGAAGGGATCGTGGGAATCTTGATCATATCTTAAATAAGAAACTTCTTTTTATAGACCTGAAGATTATAGCCTGAGTTACAGAACAATGCTGTGTATATGATTTACATATTGCAAAAACGTTTATGAAGCCAACCTCTTTAAAATTTGATATTACAAGCAGCTGTATTAATTGGTGTCCAGAAGGATAACCAAGTATTACTAACTAATTTGTCACCATACCTTGTATTTAGCTGCTGCTTTTTTGATGTTCAGGGTAACTAGTATTATCTCATATTTCTCCATTTAATGTTTAGCTCACTTGTTAAAAGCCTCCTCAGTACAAGAGGGGTTGATTTTCCAACCATGAAAGCCCTTGTTTCAAATTCTTTAATCTCTGAACCCAATACCATAAAAACTATTCTCTTTTGAAAATGCGTCTGTGCTTTTGTAGCGCTCTGTCACATGGATTGGCAGCACTTAGTTTAGTAACTTTGAGAATTAAAAGGTTTTACCTGCACTTGAAACCTTGAAGTATTAAAGGGAAAGGCTAAGTTTCTTGGGATCTTGTTTAGAAAAAGCTACAAAAGAAAAAAATGATACTACCAAGTTGTGTCTTCCTAAATATCTTTTTTTTTGGTAGGAGGGGACCAACTCAAGGCATGCCAGGTACTTCACTACTGAGTGACTGCCATAGACCCCTAAATACCACTTTTAAGAGGATTTTAACCATTGTTTATGAATACGTAGAGAGAACCAGAATCTGATTCTTTTGTAAAGTTTTTTTGTTTTTCTTTTTTGGGTATTATTTTCAGTGCTGGAGATTGAACCCAGGGTTTTGAGCAAGCTAAGCATATGCTCTAATACTAACTTATATCACTAGCCCTTTTTTTCTTCCTTTCTAAAATTTGGTTTTAGACTACTTTCAAACAGATACATTGACAGAGCAAGTAACTTGGCAAAAAGGAAAAAAATTACAACATGAGATTACCTCTGCCCATGGAAAAAAGAATGCAGATCCTATATTACCACCATGGCTGGCTAGCCTGAACTGTGGTCAGAAGAACTCTAAGCACTTACCGAACATTTCATGCCTTAAATCCTTAAATTTGATATTTCCTGACTAAACATATAATCAGATTATATGCAGGTATTTCAGGATATTTTGATAATGGAATGTTATTTTGAAGTGCTATATATTCTAGTCAAATCTCCAAAGGTAGAGAACTCTAAGAAAATTACATAAATACTATTCTAAAATTTCCTTATGAATTAGGATAAAGAAATGCTTAACATTGTCTGTGACTGGATTTTTCCATTGCATTTGGAATTTTTAGTACACGTAATTTTAGTAAATATGGGAAGTGTAACAACTTTTTGTGGTAAGCCAGATTTTACAGTATAAAGAATTCTTACTGAAGTTATTAATTTATATAATTATTTATTATAATTTCATATTAATCATAAATGATTTAAGAACATTTTTCAACATGTCTGTTAAAATCAACTCTTACACAGTTGCCTCTACAGCAGAAGTACACTGATAGTTTTAATTTGTTAACAAAAACTAATTTCTGGCTACAATGTTTTTAAAAATTCTGAGTACTAAAATCAGTTGTTTAATTTTCCAAGAATTTCACTGAGTGGTGATTGGTGAGTAAGGACTGATCTCATCAAAATGTATTGATTTCATATTGCAGATCCCTAAGGAACAAAGGTCAGAAGAATAGTATGGGAAGATCTCCCTGGAGGAAACTGACATCTTTAGATCTCATTCTCTAACTGAAATACAGGCAAAGTTCCCTTTGAGACAAATCCAAAATCCACATATAATGAAAGATTCATATAACTCATTGGGGAAAGTCTTTCCTCTGTAAATGGCCAATACTAAACACAATTCAAAAACATGTAAATGTTTTGAAAAGTTTAGTATTTTGCTCAAGACGGTACTCAAAGGAAACTAGATTTCATTTTGGAAACAATTTTAAGAGATTTAACTGATAAGGTAAATTCTGTGGTCTCACTTTGTAAGAAAGCAGGTGCATTTTTTATATTGAGGTATTAGGGTGATTTTTTAGCACTAACTTCAGGATAACAATACTACATTTTAAAATGATAACAAAACATTGAGAAAACTCCCCTAAGATTAATCGTAATGTGTACAATTCAGTTGCATTTAGTACATTTGCAATGTTGTACAGTCATCTAGTTCTGTAACATTTTCTTCTAAAAGAAAGCCTGTACCCATGAAACAGCCCCATTCCCTCTTCCCCTCAGCTCCTGGCAACTACTAATCTGCTTTCTGCCCTGGATCTATCTATTTTCAATATTTCATATGAATGAAATCCATGTATGACCTGCCATGGATTTCTTATTAACTCGGTATGTTTTCAAGATCCAGTGTTCTTATCATGTGTATCAGTACTTCATCCCTTGTTATGGCTGAATGTTCCACTACACGAATACTACATTGTGCTTATCTAGATGGACATTTGAATTGTTTCCATCTTTTGGATATTGTGACTTGTTCTGCTATGAACACTTGCGTAGAAATTTTTGGTTTGAACATCTGTTTTCAGTTCTTTGGGGTTATAAGTGTTAGTGGTTCATGGGGTCATTCTCTAGTTTTTGTTTTCCACAATGGCTGCACCACTTTACATCTCTTCAGTGTTGCTTAAGGTTTCCATTTTCTCCCATTCCCACCAACCTAATTTCCATTTTTTTGAAATACTCATCTTTATGCATATGAAGTGATATGCTATATCAATGCATTTTTACCTTTTTTAGTTGAATTAATGTCATTACAGTCATGAATGAGATTATTCAGAATGGTTTACCCAACTGTTTCCAGAGCCCCCTTGGGCAAGGCCCACTGATTTTCATAAGTGATTAGTCTTATTGCTTCTTTGAAGAGAACTGGAAATACAAAAGTTCCCAAATGCCAAAGTCCTAAGAGTGAACTTGTTTATAAGTAACCAGCTTTTTTTTTTTTTTTTCCTGTGGGTACCGGGGTTTGAACTCAGGGCCTACATTTTGAGCCACTACACCAGCCCTTTTTTGTGATGGGTTTTTTAGAGATAGGGTCTCTCTAAGTATTTGCCCAGTTGGCTTCGAACCAAGACCCTCCTGATTTCTGCCTCCTTGAGTAGCCAGGATTCCAGGTATGAGCCACCAGCACACAGCACTAACTGTCTTTTAAATGGTTAATAATGTTCTACTTTAAATCCCAGTTTAGGTACACAGAGTAGCAGATGGCAAGAATGCCTAAATATTAATTCCTAAAAAAGAGATGACCGTGGCTGACTATAATTTAGCAAATTACAATGTGTAATCATAAAAGATCAAACTGCCTATTAAAAATCAGTTTTTGAAAACCCTAAATCCAAGATAAGCTCTTAAAATAAGTTACAAAAAATTGAGCTAATAACATTTTTAAAAAACTTTTTTTTAATTTGGGGGACGGTACTGGGGTTTGAACTCAGGCTGGATAGGTGCTCCATTGCTTGAGCCACACCTCCAGTTCTAAAATGTTTAAATGGGGGAGAAAAAGAAAACCTGCCAGTTGGCCACCTTTAGTGTATTGAATCATGTAGCCAGAGGCTAAAATTTGAATACATGATCATCTGAAACATACCAAGCCTATCAGTTTAGCTTATTGAGGCTTTCCTTTATACAACCAACTGCCAGTTGGATTCATTGTGCTAGGATATTAAACTGAGTTATCAAAAGTCCATGTTCATGTCACTTTTTACTCAATTTTAAACCTCCCTGAAAAACTTCACCTAAAAACAAAGTAAATCATGTCCATCTTCTATTCTATGTGTTGATTCTATGTCAAAGCTTTCACCCAACAGCCCATTGTGCCTGTAACTCTGATGATGTCATCATGGAGTTGGACAGTATCCCTGGTCTAGTTCACCCTGTTTATGTTCTCACATTGAAGTTAGCTCAGCAGAGAATCCAACAGGTTTTAGTTGGCTGTTTTATATTAGAGGAATAGGTACTTTTAAAAGAATTTCTCAAACATAGCATTCATTTTCCCTGTGGAATAGTTTGGAGATAGAATTACTTAGAACATGTCTAGTTGACAAGGCCTGGCCCCCACGAGAAACCCTACACTTATGAGCAGTCAGTCACTCCCATTCTCCCTTGCTCCTGGCAACCGTGTAACACTTTATCTCTATGGATGTCTACTTTGGACATTCATTATAAATGGAATCAAATATGTAGGGTTTTATATAGAGGGGATTCACAGTGACAAGTCCAATTAGGCTTGTGTAGTTTGTACATTGGCTAGATCACATACATCATCTCTCCCCTATCACTGCCTTCTCTAAGGTTTGCCCAGGTTGTAGTATTTCTCAGTATTTGATTCATTTTTTATGATGAATATTCCATTGTGTGGATATACCACATTTTATTTATCCTTTTGTCAGCTGATATTTGAGTTGCTTTTTATGACTAATGCTGCTATAAACATTTGTGTACAAGTTTTGGAGTGGGTGTTTCCATTTCTCTTGGGCACATATATGGAATTATCAGGTCACACAGGAACTGTAAGTATTACTGAAATCAGTTGTACAATTTCACGTTCCTACCAGCAGTGCTACATGAGGGTTCTAATTTCTCCACTTCCTCATCAACACATTATTACCTCTTTGATTATAGGTATCCTAGTGTGGAGCAGCATCTCATTGTTCTAATTTACATTTCCCTGATGAGGATACATTGCAAGACTCCCACTGGATGCCTGAAACAACAGCACCAACAGATAGGGTTTTTTTGTTTAAAGACGCAGTGTTATGTTTAATTGTAAGTTTAACTTGCAAATTAAGCATATGAGATAAATAATAAAACAGAAAAATTACAACATACTAAAATATAAAAGTTGCTTAAAACTTAAAATTGTTTCTGAAATTTTCCACTTAATATTTTTGAAACACGGTGAAACTCAACTAGTGAAACCATGGAAAGCAAAACCCTGGATGTGGAAAACTATTGTACCTCCCTGTGAGTTGAGTGGCAGTGAGTCCAGCCTAAAAAAGAACCACTGTAACCAGGCAGATCAGTTCCTTAGAGCCAGGTGTCTCCTGCAGAAAGGCAGGCCTGAGTTTTACAGTACCAAGTTCTTACATGCCCAGTGAAACTGAATGCAGCTGGGGACATGGCTCAAGTGCAAGACCATGAGTTCAAACCCCAGCATGAAAAACTGAATGCATACCAATTATAGTAGTGTAATAATCACTGACAAAAGGGTGCTGGTGCCTATAATCCAAGCTACTAAGAAGGCAGAGAAGCCAGCCCAGGCAAACAGCTTACAAGACCCTATCTCAAAAATACTCAACATACAGCAAATTTGATACATTGTAAGAATCTTTGTAAATACTTTAGTGTGCCCCCACCCAGTACAACAATAAAAAAACAACACAAAATAGGGCTGGTCAAGTGGCTCAAGTGGTAGAGTACCTGCCTAGCAAGTGTAAGGCCCTGGGTTCAAATCCCAGCATCAACAACAACAAAGTCATGAAGGAACCTAACTATTGTCCTTTACTACATAAATGACCTAGAATCCATTCACTCGTTAGTACGTTGATTTTGGTTTTATTCCAGAGTCTAGATAATTGCTTTTGCTATTGATTTCTCATAGTCTTTCTTATAATTTAGCCACTTAAAAACCTTATATGAAGTCGGGTGCTGATGACTCTTGCCTGTAATCCTAGCTACATGGGAGGCTGAGATCAGGATGATTGTGATTTGAGGCCAGCCCAGGCAAACAGTTCAAGAGACTCCATCTCCAAAATAACCCGTGCAAAATGGACTGAAGGTGTGGCTCAAGTGGTAGAGCTCCTGCTTTGCAGTAAAGCCCTGAGTTCAAACCCCAGCCCCACCAAAAATTTCCACTATGGGTAGTGGAAATAATTATAAGTGAGGGGTTGGGGGATAATTTGCCTAAAAGTATCATACCACGGTTAACAAAAGCAGCCAATAACCTTCCATAGTGGTAGCTTAAGTTAGGCATCTGAATACACTGCTATGTATATACTAGAATATATAAAAAATGATTAAAAAGTAAAATTTAGAGCTAACGCCTAATCTTTATTTTTACATTAATGTAGACTTTAAAAATGTTTAGATTGTCTTAACATTAAAAACTACTATTTCACTCCAAACATTTTCCTAAACCTAAACTGGTTATACAAACGTTCTCTGTTAAGAGTTTTTGGCACGCCATCACTATTCCAAGACTAACTCTGTGGATCCCTGGGAAAGGTAACATGCCAGTAGCGGGTTATTTCCTATCAAATTTACAGAACTGAACCTTTTGAGTAGGTCATCAGTCAGACTAGAGCTGCTTACCTAATTCTCCCTATTATCAGATCTTTTCACAACACACTATAACATACGCCATTTGTTCATATTAATTCTATCAAAGTTAGTTAGTATTTACATTTAGTGAAGCATCCAGCATGCCACTTTGAAGCACTTGTTTTCAGTAAGTCACTTTCAAAGTGAAACTTCAAAAATTCCACATTTTGGAGAATTTGATCCCATAAGTGACTAGAAAGTACTAATTATAATTCTGTAAATGAGATACTGATACTCTCAAGACTGAGGTAATATATTTCACTTATGTTTTATTTTCAAGTGTGTACGGTAAAGGGGGAAAATGAAATCTTTAACAAAATATCAAGCTACTGCATCACAGAAAAGCAGCTGGTAAGCTACACAAAAGACAATGGGGAGTATTACTGACCAAAAAAATGAATGCTTGCTGGATACAGATACACTGTCTTCAAATCTGAGGCTGCTACTAAGCCTCTAAGAGAATCACAATTCCTCTTCAGTTTCTCTAGGATTAACATAGTTGACAGTCATCTGACACAGTACTTAGTGTCTGGTATGATCAACTGTTTACATAATAAGGGAGGGTCACTGAGACCTCTTATTGACTGACAATAGTTTAACATTTGAGTGAACAATAAGCACAATAATTTACTGAGCACTTCAGCAAACTAGGACAATGATAAGTGATACTGTTTACATGAAGCAAGGAAAGGCATTCTAGGGTCACCTATCTATGCTTTTCCCCAAACCATTTAATCATTTCTATTTTGAAATAAAATTTCTCGATGTGATTTTTTAATACTATGAGGACTGAAGAAAAATTAAATTCCAGAGGTAAAAACATTCCAGGTTACCAAGTAAGTCAATAGGCAATCTTGCAAATCTTTAACAAGGCAATTATAATTCCTTAGAAGGTGATTTCCACTGGTCCTAAGAACTGCCTTATATACATGAATTAGGTTATATAGATTGTCTACTCTTTTTTAAATTATATATAGATACATATATATATATCTATAATTTTTTTTTGGCGGCACTGGGGTTTGAACTCAGGGCTTCATGCTTGCTAGGCAGGCTCTCTACCACTTGAGCCACTCCACCAGCCCAATTATTAGGATATATTTGTTGTACAGGGGGGATTCATTATGACAATTCTGATATCCTTACATTGTACATTAATTAGATCACCCTGACCACGTCCCCCCCCCCACTTAAGCAATTGCAAGAGGTTTCACTGTTCTAGTTCATGTGTATATGAAGTCCACCAACCATATTCCCTCACCTTCATCTCCTCCATTCCCCTTCCCCCTCCCACAAGTACCCCCACACTGTACTTATTTTACAGTCCTTTCATTTTTAATTCCGAAGTCAGCTTTCAAAGGGATTTCTTGATGTATCCCCTCTGTGAGTATACTTTACTTTGGTCAGTTCAACCTCTTCCATTGCTCTCCCTTTCTCTCCCCCCTTTTCTTCACCCCCCCATTGTTCAACAGCCTTACTCCTCCTCCATAGAGCCCATGAAAAGTACCTTTCATTTAACTGGATTAATTTTTTTTAAACTGGATTAATTTTTAAAGTTAATACGATTCTACAATTCTAATACTGAACTTTGTGACATTTAAAATCTATTTATACCTCATAAAAATACTATATATTTTAGTTTAATCCAACAAGAAATGAGGCCACTCTTCTGTGGACAGATGGGAGAAATTATGCAACTAGGAAAGTTACAATCGCATCAAGTGACATGGACTAATTGAACATACTTTATCCTAGCAACCTGTTTTTTTTTCTCTTTGGCAGCATTAGGATTTGAACTCAGGGCCTCACACAAGTGAGAGTGAGAGTGGCTCTACCACTTGAGCCACTCTGCCAGCACTTTTTTGTGTTGGGTATTTTCAAGGTAGGGTCTAGAGGACTATTTGCCTGGGCAGTCTCAATCCTCGATCTCCTGATCTCTGCCTCCTGAGTAGCAAAGATTATAGGCGTGAACCACCAGCACCTGGCTTAATCTGATTTTTGAAATTTATAGCATTAAATGGGGTTTTATAAGAGAAAACAAATTCTGATGTTGCAACCCATTCTTATGTACATGATAACCCATGATACCTACTTCCATCTTAAACAATTAGTAAACTCAGTAGAATGTTATTATGGATCACAGTATGTAAAATACTATAAAGCAACTTTGCTATATAAGAAGATCCACTTCAGATACCAAAGGACTCAAAAAGAACATACACACGATGATATATTTTATCATTTTATTAGGAATAGTTCCAAATGGTTATGAAGAAAACTTATTCATTGTGTTTGATGAGATTTTCAAAAACTCTTAATGAAGATATGTTCACCAATAAACAATAAAACATCAGCAGAACTATCATATATTGGGCAGAGAGTCAGGCTGATACCAAAAGCAACATGCAACATAAAAAGATAACAATATAAAGGAAGACAATCTGCTGAGGGTTAAAAACCATCTCAATACGAACTCTTTGCAACCAGCACACTTAACTACCAAATCTAAACCACATCAAGGTAAGCTTGGCCGATGGAAGCCAGGAGTAATGGTGGGAAAAAGAAGTTCCTCAGTGCAAGAAAACTGAATAGTGTTTTGGAGCATTTCCCTGGTTGGTCCAAGCAGTATTAGAAAAAATTTTTGGCAAGGGATAGAAATAAATACAAATGGAATGCTACACTTTTAAATCAGCAGACTGTCCCAGGAATGATATTGGTGTTGATAAAGTAGCAAGGGGATAACTCTGAAACATTATTTGTTGTGGGCTCAAAAACATTCAAAACTGATTCATTTAAAAGTGTCACAACAGCGGTGTCCAGGAGCTTAGGCTTAAGGGAACTATAATTAAGAGGATACTTTTTTTCCCAAGGAGAATTTCTTTAAAACCAAGCATATTGCTAAATAGCAACATGATACTTGGTAAACAATAATTGGCAACAAAACAAGTTTTAAACGCTGTAATATTCTGCCCAAACCAGTCCCAGATACTGTTTAATAACCAAGATGCAAACTAATTTTGTTGTAACAAGCCTAGACCAATTCTATCAAACATGTCCTTGGTTAGATAGATATCCAGTTTCATTTAGCGTTTTGAAAGCTCATTTGACAGCCAGTCGAGTCCCTCATACAGGCCAGTTCCTTGTGTAGCACAAGTGGCTTGGACATACCACTGTGAAGAAAGGACAAGAAAATGCTTGATTAGCGAGATAATATATAACCACAGAGTTAAAACTTAATTAATAAAAAAAAGTTATTTCCCTACAAATGCCCAAGGGTACTGCTGAGTCAGCAGTTACCATAAATGTATAGGAAAAAAGGAAACTTAAAATCACAGGAATAAATTAAAGGAAATATGTTAGCTTACTACATCTCACAAAGGATCAGTTTTACACTTAATGGTCTCAGTAATTAAAAAGATAACTAAAAATTATCTACCCTTTAGAAATGTTCTCATCATCTCTTACTTCTCACAACCCTCTTCACATATTTAAAGTGATATCTACCTGTTCAGATTTAGTCAACTTTCTGCCATTCAATCTGAGTAGAGTCAAGGGGAAATCACAAACTACCCACCTATCTTATAATACTCTTACTCCCCATAAAACTAGAAGAAACAATTTTGTTTTCAGTGCTGGGGATTGAACCCAGGCCTCACACATGCTAGGCAAGCAAGTACTCTCCTACTGAGCAATACTCCCAGCCCAGAAGGGACAAATTTCTGACACAGTAGAGCTTGCTGATATTTTAGGGTCAATATTTTCAGATAATTTCACTAACTTTGGACTCAAACATTCCAAAAAGTGCCATCTTTTTTACATCACGATGACTCCTATCTCCATGAATTATATGAAATGCATCAAGAAAAAAACACCAAGAACACAATTTAATTACATTTACCAGGTGTGCTTATTCTTTTTTTCAGTTGGCCAGTTTTATTTTGCCTTATATTAAAAACATTAACATTGTAAGGCCAATGCAGGAATACCATGTTATTTGAATACTAAACACTCCAATAATGTAGAAGATGGGAAAAGCATGAATAAATAGGATGGAAAACGTGTCATTAGATTATTTTGGAAAATAAACTAAACTAAAATTCTGAGAATAATGAAACCTGTTAAAAATTGCTAAAAGGCAGGGGTGAGGGGCATGGGAAAGAGTAGAGGTGGTGAATTTGATCAGAGTACATTATGTGTATCAATGAAACTCCTTGTGCAATTCATATACACTAATAAAAACAAGAGAGGGCTAGTGGAATGCTCAAGTGGCAAAGCACCTGCCCAGCAAGCATGAGTCCCTGAGTTCAAACCCCAATACCACCAAAAAAAGAAAAAAACAGAAAAGAATACTTTATCTTATTTAAATCAGCCTGGGAAAGCTCAAACAGGCCATACAACAGTGTTTGCCTTGTTGACAAGTTAATATAAAACTGGTATAAGACATGTTTGTGATATCATCTTTACATATAAAATAGTGTTGTACATTTTGCCAATACCTGAAATACTGATCTAAAATAAGGTACCTGATAGTAGATACAGTATTTCTTATCATTTCAATGTTCAAAATTTTTTAATATCATCATTAGGTCCCTCCACAAGCTATTGATGTTAACAGCAAACAAATTATGCTAACCAGTATTAGCTAAATAATACACAGCTGCTAAATACTGAGCACTTCCTAAGAAAACCAAATTATAAAATATTTGCTGTAGAGGTATATAAATAATACAAAACTAAAATTAAGAACACTGGTAATTTTTACACATTCAATTCTACATAGTTTTCCGTATCTTTATCAATACTAAAGATTAACCAAATTAAGTAAAAATATTTGTCTTTGGATTCTTAAAGGATATGTTAAAAGTTAGAAAATGAATGAAGTATCAATATACATTAAAGCAAAATTTAAAAAGCTTTGAAATAAAATCTGAAAAAGGCTGATTTTTGTATAAGAAAGACTTTATTACCATATTTTTTATAAATGATGTGATCATTATCTGTTCAAGGGAGGTAATTATTAAATGTCTAAGCTGATTATTAGCTTAAGTAATTATGACAGTAACTCTAATAGTTGAAGGCTAATAGCAACCTCAGAGTACTTACTGTCCTGTTACGAAGAGACTGAAGACCTAGTTTATCTGTCATTTCACTGATGGCCATAGCATTTGGCAAATCCTGTTTGTTCGCAAAGAGCAGCAGCACTGCATCCTGCAGCTCATCTTCCAGAAGCTGGAAATAAAGGTTGAAGTGTTAACTACCAAAGTGAAACACAATGTTTCAATTTGTGTAAAATATACACAATATTTTACCTGCTCAAAATAGGTCTTCCTGTTATTCAACATTAAATAATTATTAACCATCAAACCAAATTTCTCTGTATAAATTTCAGGTAGACTTTCAACTTAAATCTAATATCCTTCAGTTTTTTAAATCCATAGCGAATAATTATTTGCCTTCAAATAAAGCAAAACTGTCTTTGTTGTTTTGGTTTCTTGAGGTAGGGTCTCACTATGCAGCCAAGCTGGCCTCCAATGCAAAATCCTTCTTGCCCCGCCTAGAGTGCTAGGATTACAGGTGTGCACCAAACTGTTTTTCAAATTAATCATCCTACACTCCATTAAGGTACACCACACTTAATTATCCTTCATTATCCACCCAGGGTCAGGACAAGAAATACATATTGGAATAAAGTATTTAAGGCATCATCTTATGGTACTTGGTAGCAAAAGTATTTAAATGATGATTCTTTTTTGGACTTTTATACTTTCCAGCCAGCTGGAAATAAAAATTTTTTAAAAAGTAAAAGTTGGTATTATTTTACTTATAAGGCAAAAACCCACCAGTGACTGACTTACAAATATGATCAATGAATAAAAAGTTATGATTTCATTTCAGTAAATATGTGGCTACAAGTTTGAAACCACAACAAGGTTCCTGAACAATTTTTTCTCACTTCAGGATTTTTTTTTGGGGTGTACTGGGTTGGAACTCAGGGCCTCACGCTTGTTACATAGGCGCTCTACCTCTTGAGATGCTCCACCAGTCCTTTTTTGAGCATTTTCAAGAATAGGATTTCGTGAACTACTTGCTGGGCTGGCTTTGAACTGTGAGCCTCCTTTCTGCTTCCTGAGTAGCTAGCATTACAGGTGTGAGCCACTAGTGAAAGGTCCACTTGAGGATTTTTAACAATATGAATACATAAAAACATATTATATGGCAAGGCCAAAATGCCGCTGATTACCAAATCACTACTACTTTCAGACAGAATTCTCTCACTTTTTTTTTTTTTTGGTAGTACTGGTGTTTGAACTCAAGGCTTCATGCTTGGTAGGCCAGTACTCTATCACTTGAGCCACATTTTCAGCCCTGGACAGAATCCTTTATCATGATTGCTATTACAAAACATTTTTGAAGTAATTACAGGCACAGCATAGAGAAAATAGAACCCAATGACCTTGGGAACAAGGTATATAAACCAGGTCCCAAGTAAAAACTTAAAAATTATACATTTTGTATTTGTAAACTATAAATAAGAATTGGACTCTATATCCTTAACCAGAGTTATGCTACCAAAATCAGCCATGGAACACTCTAAAAACAAAGAACAACTTCTCGATTTACAACTTTTTTAAAGCTCTGTAGGGAGCTAGGGGCACTGCACATTGGTAAATCGTAGGCTTAGCAAGCCTGAGGCCTGGCACCAATTAAGTAAGTAAATAATAGCTCTCCACAGGAAATTTTTATAGGCATTCTTAAGAAGCTGTAAGTAGTTTCTCAAGCTTCTTTCTACTTCTATAAAGAATACTCAGAAATAATAATAATAATACCCAGAAAAGCTTATCTTGAAAATAATACACTTAAAGTACATTCTTACCATTTTCTGCAGCACGTCTGCTCCTTCCTGAATTCGTTCACGGTCATTGCTGTCTACCACAAAAATAAGACCCTAGGGAAAAATTTTGTTCAATAAATTACAACAGTTAAAATTAAAGGACACACTAAATATGAGTATCAAGGATTAGACACTGGTTAGAAAATGTCTCCTTATTCATCATGTTGAGTGAGAGAAACCTATCTCAAAAAAACCAAATATTGCATGTTCCACGTATTTGTGGAACCTAGACCTGGAATAATACGATAGTAATAGAGAAAAGAATGAGACATAAATGTAAGGGGTCTGCCTCAGGCAGGGGATCAGTGGGAAGGGAAAGGAAGGAAGGATACTGAGGGGTGAAGAAGATGGAGGTACGCCATACAGACAGACAGACAGATATGAAGCCAACATGATAAAATCAACCAAACACTTTGAAAAAGGAGGGGAATATAATGGAGGCGTGAACTTGTTTAAAGCACACTGTACACATGTATGGAATCATCACAGTGAATCCCCTATTATTAACATATGCTAATTCAAAAATAAAATAAACAAGATAATGTCTCTTTATTTAAAACAAAATTCAGGGTTCTAATACTGAAGACTGATTTCAGCACTATATGATTTTAACTTGATAATTGTTTCAATGCTTTAGTGGGAGGGAGTGTTAATTTGATTAAAGGACCACATATACAGGCCTGAAGTATCAAGGCAAAACACTCCTGGACTATTAATATATACTTAAAAAAAAAAAAAGAAAGGCAGGAGAATAAATAGGTCTTTACCAGGGTTAAGTACCAGTGGGAGGTGGGGGAGCACAAGGAAAGGGCAAATATGGTGTATTTTGTATTCATATGTGAAAATAGAAGAATGAAACCTGTTAAAATTGTTCTAAGAAGGGAGAAAGAGGGAGACTGATGGAGTGGGTAAATCTAACTAAGATATATTGTAAGCACATATGTAAATATCACAATGTATCCACAGTACAACTATTACATGCTAATAAAATTTTTTAAAAATCTTAGTCATAACCAATGATTACTTTTCTCAATTAAGCTAGCAATAATATACTTTACCCCATTTCTTGACCAGTGGGAGGTCATGCACAGGTAAATTATAAGTAGTAAAACATCCACAAAGACAAAAGGAAAAATAAACTAAGGTTCTTCAAGAATCATGAACTTACTAAGTAAATTCAGTAAAAGACATGCACAAAGTATAAAAAGAAAAGGAGGAAGAGGATGCACTTCAATAGTTTTTATAAGCTTCATCACAGAAAGAAAACACAGCCTAGGTCCAGAATGCACCTGCCAACTCTAAATCAGACAACAAGACCTAAGCAAAGTATCTTATGAAGTTTAAGGTTCACTTGACCAAGTAAGAAACTCTTAAGAAAAAGGAAGGAAAGAGATGGCGGAGTGTCTAAAGTGGTAGAGCAGCTGCCTATCAAGCATGAGGCCCCGAGTTCAAACTCCAGTAACCACC